GTCCAAGCGTATTGAATATGAGATGTTACTGAATTTTATGTTTAACATTTGTTTGTATGCAAATTTGACCGAATCAGATCGTTGATGTAACACACTTCAGTCAAGATGACTGGCAACGAAATACTATAATAACAGAACTTGTTGCTTTTGGAATACTGCCAGATATATAAATCTAATGGGAAAGTGTCTACACTGTAAACATTTAACGATACTCAGGGGTTAGTTTAACAATACCTACCAAAAATTATGAAATTGAGAAATTATGAAGGTTATCACGTAACCACAAAGATGGAAAATTAATTAAATAATCATACAGTATCTATAAGCTGCAAGAAACTAATTTATAATTAAAATTCATTGTTATATTGTTGTGTATACAAAATCTTCTTATAAATATAAAATTTAACCGATACTGTCAAATCCGAGATTCAAGTACATATATAGTTATATCAATATTTTCTTTGTTTGACTCCGTTTGAAACAAAGAATATAAAACATTCTAATCTTTCGGCTTATATTTTTATGTTTTAAGTTATCTTAAAAGGTTTATTCACCCTTTTTCATTCGACAAAGGATGTCTTTTAAGTTGATCCCACATAAATTTGGTTATTATTAAATTATGGTAAGCGACATGGAACAATAAAAAAATCTCTGTTTTACATGAAACACGTTCATCCCATTATATTTTTCAATTTGAACTCTTTAACGACGAGATGGGAGTGAGGTCCATTCCGACACAGATTTTAGAGTTGCAAATATTCACGCTTCAATTGTACTATCGATTTTCTGCCCTCAGACACTTCCGCAAACATCCACTTGAACTTGCACAAGAAACAGTCTTAATATAAAATAAAGTTGAAGCTATATTATATTAGATTATCGCCTGTCACTTTATATCTAAATTTCATAAATCTTTATAATCATTTTATAGTTACACCAACAAACCGACTAACAAAACCTACGCTTGGTCTGCATAGTTTGATCCATATAAAAATAAAATAGTCATGTTGCAATACTCCATAAACTTTTCCACACAATACATTTTCAATCAATCATTACTGATTACTTTTAAAGTTTTTAAGTGCTATAAAAGTTTGTTTTTTATTTGTTAGCTTACTTTCTTCACCAGTAACATAGTTTTTGTAATGAAATTCCAGTAAGAACGTCAAATAATATTGTTCGAAGACATTTAATCTAATGTAATCTGTTAATTTAATTTATATCTATCTATACAAATTTAATGTATCTATATATATGTATTATATGTGGTAAAATTGTAGCCAAAAAATACCGCTGATTAAATTTTCATAAAAGACTTTGTTGAGACCTATTAATAAAAATGCCAACTACACAGGGAAAGGCAGCAAATTTAGAAGTTCAGCGCCATCTATTGTACTTCATCTGTGAAATACTTCGGTTTCCGCAGCAGACATTGTCACATCGCTGGCGACTGGTATTTATCATCAGCTTAATTAAGATTTCGTAAGGAAAGCGCTAAGAAGGAGCTATTCATTTGCCTAATACTGCGCCAATTTGTTTGCGCTCGAGAATTTATAAGGCTTCATGCAGGTTAAATTACTATAATAGTATGTAAGTAATATACAAAAATATATTAAAATTTCATAGACTCATAAAATTTAACGGTTCATCGGTAAAAAAAATAATATAAAAATAAATATACATTTCCTATTAAAACTACGATTCGTTTATTTATAATCTTTGTTATATTTTAATATAGCCAAAAAAGCTGAAAAGAAAACCACAAAACAAAAAATTTATTAATTCATTGTTGAGATTTTTCAAAAGTATCTTTCAGTTATTAAAACATGCGATAGATTTTAACTTTATTGTTCTGTTGTTTATAAATAGATTTTTTAGATATTCTATCATATTATATATAATTGATAATAGTTATATTTCTGTATATAAATATTGCTGGAGGCCTTTGTTGTATTTACTGAAACATGACGCAGTTCGCCATTCATCACTGAACTGATTTTCCATTAAAAGTTTAAAAGTTTTAACTGAAAAGTTGCTTTAAATAATATGAAACTAGAGTTTACGTATATCATTTTATTTTATTTTCCTATGACAATATAATATCTCCATATAAATTAATATGGAGACTTTATAAATATAACTATGTTATAAATGTAAATATTACTTTTAAATAGTAAATTGTGTTTGAGCTGTGACATAGAGCTTTAATCAAAGATATTTCTGGACCAGTGAGCTAACAACTTAACAGTTCTGCGTTCATGCAATTCATTTTTTGGATTAAATTTAAGAGGAAAATAAAGAATGAAAAAAACATCATCACTACCTCAACAGTTTTATTGATAAAAAGTCTATAATACGATACTCCGAAGGTATGTAGTTTTGATTCCTGCTCGTGATCCTGAAATTGCGTTTAGGTTAACTAAATATTGTATGAATCTTAAAATATATCTAATAATTAAAATACGAATAAATTTGAAGTCTTTTTAATATTAATAACAATCACAATAAAACAAATGCCGAAATGTAAAAAGCATTAATAATTCAACGTTTTACGAGTCCCGAGAACAAATCTTTTATTGGCGTAGTCATCAAAAGATCAAAGATTCATTCTTATTTTGATTATATGTATTCGTTATTGTGAAGTTTATAAGGACTCACGTCAGAGAAGACACCGAATATATGCCTTGATATTGTTTATGCTTATGAAAAAAACTACAATAATCTTAATGAATATAAACTTGTATTTTTTTTTCACATAAATATTGCATCATGTTGTTTTTCTCTTTACGGTAGTATATATAGAAAGATTATTAACTAACCTGACCTCTTCGACCACATTGAGACTGGCAATTTGATTCTCCATTATTATGTCTGTTTCTCATCCATATTCAAAACAACCAATATTACTTTAAAACCATTTCTTTGAAGTATTTGGATATTCTCGTTAAAACGTGACTATAAGACGGCCACTAAAATATGCAACATATTGAGTTAATTGCCGGTCTGTGTTCACAGACCTATGAATTGAACGACGTCCACTGATGTTTGTAATTAATAAGGGTCAATTTTGAGTTCAGTTTTATGGATTTACATCAGCACTTAAGTTCCAATTATAATTGAACTATGATATCTAACTGTATCAGAATTATTAGAACATTATGGATTAAACTGTTTTTAGCTGTTTTAGTTAGATTTACCTAATCAGAGCTTGTTTTTTACGAAATTTTATTATGTCTGGATATCAAGGTGCACATATAGATTAACAAAATCAATTGTTATAGCATGTTATTTTTTACAAAGTATATCTTTCTTTAGGATAGATATAAAATCTTATACTATCAATTTTCACTATAAATATTCAAAGTATTTAATACGTAATTCTGGTAAAGAAAAAAAATTAAAACTTTGACAAGTATTATTGATCAATATCTATAATTTCCGAGGTTAATGTTTTAATCTCTTGTTCTTAGAAATTAGTACTTTCTAAATCTTGTATACATGATGATATACGTACATCATGTTTATTATCGGAATTAGCTTTTATAAATCCTTTATCTTTATCTTATATCTAAAAACCTACAATGACAACAGAGCTACAATATTTTATACTTGGTTTTATTTTTCTCTTTAGTTTTTTTTTTTTATAAATCAACATAATGTTTTCTTGAAACATTTTATAAAATATAATTTCACAAATAAAGATATTTTTGACAGTTTATTGTGATATTATATCAAATTTATGATGTTGGTGGTCACGATGTTAGATTTAAATGATTTCAAAGGACTTTGCTGCAAAATGAAAGTTTTTAAGTTATCTTATTATATATAAGACAGACCATAAAGTCACAGAAAACTTATTGAGGTAAAAAATAATGAAAAAATTCCGTAAAGAAGAAGGAATTTAAACTTAAATTTTTGTTATTATAATGCAAGAAAGTATTTACTTTGCAAGCAGACCGGAAAAGCGGGGTACAAACTTTAGTGATTAATCATTACCTCTTGTGACTGCAGCAGTTTCGTTAAAAACTTTTTTGATGACTGTCATGCGGAAACATTTCGAACATTTATAGCTCTATTTTCTAAAAGTCTTTTATTTTCCACCTCAACGATTAATGATTATAATCAATTTGGCTTACCATAAAAATAAGTTTATTTAGATCCAAGACTTTCATTAGTGTTCATGCAAATATAAATGATATTGTCGGATTTACCAAGCGTTTTTTATTATTTTAAAATACATATTGAAATTGAGATATTGAAAATTTTCATCGCATCTGCAAAGTAACCGAAACTTCAGAATTATTTATTTTTAGAAATAGTAAAAAAAAGGAGTAGTAACTTCGAGAATAAGTTAGAAAAAGATATTTTTTATTAAAAAAACAATGGGGCCAGGCAGCAGACTCGAGTAGTTATTTTTTTGTTTCTTATATGTATATATTTTTGTTAGAAACATGAAACGACGACATGAAACGAACACCGAATACTAAGGCAAGATTACATATAGTTAGCTGAGTGACTATAACAGTAATCGCAATACGATTGCAGCTCCATATATGTATATTGTATATTATATCTGTTTTTTTTTAATAACAAATCAAATTAAGCAAGAATACCATGTGTATATTCTACAAAATGTTTTTTACACTATCAATTTTACTTAAAAACTGAATATATTATTTACTTATTTAATTTAATAATTAATAGTACACAACGTGTATTCAATGTTATTCAAATATAAACTACGTTTAATAAGAAAATTAAATTGTCTCGTAAAAAAATACTAAAATTTTTAAATAGTTGTGAGAGACAGGAATTCCAATATAATAAATGCCCATTGGCCCATATTTTTTTTTGCTCAAAATAGAGATGCAAAGCCATTTTAATACAATAAAAAACGAATAATAATATGTTACTAATATGTATTTTAGTCTTTTATTTAATATTTCATTTAACACAATTTCAAAACTCCTTTCTAGCTAAACATTTGATGAGTAAGTATTTTATTTAATGTCCACGACATTTTCTTCATTATCATCGATTTCTTCACTTCTTTCTTTATTCGTAAAAAGAGGGTTATTAGTTGTTACATCTCCATTATTGACGGCAAACGAATTTTTAGCTTTTTCTGTTTCACTAGTTATGTGACTATCAAAATAATGCAGAAAATTTTTCTCCGTGCTAGTTTGTTTATTATATATCATTCCTGAATCTGTGTTGACCTTATTTTTTAAAGAACTTATATACTTCGTTGAAATAATGTTCCCATTTTGTTGAATCGGAAAATTAACTCGTAAAACACCTCCACTATATGACCAATATCCATTTGGGTCAACGTCGTCCGGTAAATGCTTAACAAATGTATAACTAACTAATGGTTTATCATGTGAAACATGAAAAGCATCTATTTCCAGCAGACCTTTGCGTGCATTTAAAGTAATTTCTTCTTCTTTATACCCCGGCAATGACATAATTAAAGTATATACATTATCTGCTGTTCTTTGACCGTCATTACTTGAATAGTCGTCGATTGGGACCAGTTTTTCTATCTCATTATCGATCCTTTCTATTTCTCTATCAAGATACTCAATATGCCCGTGAAGGTATTCCAGTCTTCTTTCAAGCACCTCCTTTTGCCTACTAATGCTTGTTATTTCTCTGTTTATTACCCTTTTTCTTTTAAATATATATTCCTTATGTCTGTTTAAGGACATGAAATCACTATCATAACCTCGTCCATTGAAAATGCCGGTTTCTCTATCGTAATCTCTTATTCTTTCGAATTTATACGAAGCAATGCCTTCGCATGCTAATAGTCCTAGGAGCACAACCGCGAGCATATTTTATTAATTATCACAACTGCTTCCTAGCAGTTCCCAAACGTAACTGTTTTTATTTGACCGCAGCGCGTATTTTATCCGTTACACTATCGGTATATTATTTTATTGGAAATCCCGAATGTGTCTACATGTCCATAATACGTCATGGGCTATTTTAAAGTGTTGTGTCGGTGATAACGAGTACAGTTAAAACAGTTAATATTATTTCTTAAATAATATAACAAATTCACTTTCTATCATCATGGTACATTCGTACAGAATCAACATCCAACAAAGACTCATAATATTTTTGTCTGTATAAATGAAAAATATTCGAAATGGTACTTTGGAAATATTTACAGGATCTGGGTTTAGAAAATATTCCATTATATATTTTTTTTTGAATACTGAAAATATTTACTGATATTTTTTCTATCTATCAAGAATTTATTTCAACTAAAACCACCAAATAAATACTTAAAAAAGTGGTTCTTCATTGCGTCTATTATATTGTTTCACTAAAGCTAACTGGTTCATTTAAAAAGTAAGTGAATTAACATTTATATTAAATTTAATGGCCGACAAATGCTCTCATTCACAACTACAATAGGTAATCATTTTATTTTTAATCTATGGTTTTTATTGTGTTAAGTACAAAACGAACTAATGAATTTTCAATTCTATTCATAAATGTAAGAAATTATTGGAAATGTTCTAAATCAGCTCAACAAAATCTTTTTTCCTTTTTTTATGTATAGATTTAAAACATTTATATTTATTTATGTTTTTTAAATTGACTGAACCCTACTTATTGAGTGATTATAAGAAAAAACGATATAAGTAATCAACCGAAACAGTAAAGTTACGATTAGAGGTCAAATGTGAACATGGGTTATCACATATATTTGAGGAAATGTTTAGACAACACGAGGTATCACTGTTAATTATATTTATGCCAAAATTTACCGTCTATGAATCATTTCTTGAACCAATAATGTATTTTATGTTTATAAAATAATAAAATCCTGGGGAGAATTAATTTCAATAATTTATGTATAATTAAAACCATATTACTGTCTTCAAAACTTATTTTTAAGACCATCCAAATTTTGTAAACATTAAATATTACAATAAATTATTTTTTTTAATCTTAGACTCTGACAACATGGCCGGAGGAAGGAAAAGAAAAAGTAAAAGAAATGTCAAAAAAAGGAGAGGTAGGACGGTTTTAGAAAAATATTAGGTGTACACTGTACGGTGTACATGCGCGAGGAAGTATTGTAAAAAATCGAAATTGTGAATATCTACTGTATCTGATATCATTTGTACCCCAGACCGAAAGGCTCTTTCCCACAAATCAATAATATTAACATTGAAACGATTTATGTTATTTACGTTGGTGTTTAGTCCTTTAATTTATTATTGGGTGGGTGTGAACTACGCGTATAAATATTACTGAAATTAAGTTATTACCGGCAGGCATATACACTGAGCGGATGGTAACTAGAAACAAAAAATGCTAGAACTTAATAATTATACTTCTTGATACACAGTGATGTATAACCAAATAAGTTAGATAGAAGAAAGCCGTGAAGTTTTAAGCTATATGCTGCACAAAGTATACACTTATAATACATACGATTTTTTAACAAAAATTAAGTAAGAAAATTATTAAATATTTAATAAAGTACATTAAAACTGTGAATATTTTACAATAGATATATTAATATTTGTATTTGTCTATTAGTATGTTTCCTTACCTAGTTGGTATTTTATTTTAACCGAACCCTTATAAATATTACTAAATCTTTAAAGAAACATTAATATACATTTAAAATCATATCTACGAAGTTTACAAACGTACCGTTGACAGGTACATTCTGTTTAAAACACTTTTTAAGACAAACTTAAAAATTCAACATGCATGTAGTATTTAGTTTATAAATATGTATGTTACGTTCAAGTGCTCTCAGGATAATTCGCTCTAGTCTCGTCTACGCGAACTTTGAAGCTTACACTCTGTTACTTGTGTTGCTATTTGTGCTACAACATAATGACTTTAATCTTCTTTCACTTAACAACTGCTATATTTCCATGTGAATTTATGCAACACCTTACATACGAGAGAAAAGTTATGAAACCAGTTTTTGTGTTAACTAAAATAATAATTGTTCTTGTTTCTTTTAGAATAACAAATAATTTAGAGTTATTCAATTCTGTTTCTCATTTCGTAAACAATAACTGGCAATGTTAGAACAAATGTAAATATTTTCTCACATTATTTTATCTAGTGCTATAAATGATGAAATACATCCTCTATGATCTTTTGGTTGTAAAGGCAATAATTTACCAGATTTTTTATTGTTCTTGTTAAACGATATGTTTTTTTTAAAGATTAAATTAAAATTACAATCAAGTGTGGGAAATAACTTCGTCGTTATATATTTTTAAAACAATTTTCTTTATGTATGACTTTTATGTACAAAAAGTTTTGTAATACGCTGAAGAGAGTGTAGCTTTTAATTTTATTGGTTGAAGATGATTGATATCTAATCGTTACTTAGTCTCCTCAATGATAGTTCTCCTATTCTTCGTTCCCGCATCTGAATTACTTCAAAAAACATTCAATAATACCAAAAACATACATATATGTTTAAAGTACATTATTTATTACAAGAGATAAATTTACTATCATCAAAACTTAGTATAAACCTTAACAATAAGCCAGATCCATACTAGTACATATAGTTTACAGTCGGTTTAAATGTTTAATAAATAATTGCAATTTCCTTAGATATATATTACCTTTTCTCCTTTATATATATTAGTTATAAAAATCTAGTTGAGTTCAATTTTATTTTGTTCTTTAAAACATACATTTAGCTACAGTTTAATATTACTTTAATTCAGCATCGTAAAGATACAATTTTCATTGCAAATACAATACAAACAATGTTGCGGGTACTTAAACCGTGGGTACAGTAATTATGGCGACAGCGTTAGGTTATGTGAAATCCCTTCAACCATTATTCTCATTTCCTGGCTTTGTGTATCAATTATAATATGTTTATATTACAGAAAACTAAGTTGTATTTTTGTTTGTCTTTGTAATTTTCATCATCAAATTTACTGTTTAAAAAACTTAGAATATGGGAGACGAAACCTCTTAGCATTCAATGGATTTACCGTTAATTTTTCTAGAATATTATATGAAGCTCGTTTAGTTACAGATTCCTCTAGAATTTTTTTTTGCTATCATTTAAGCGCTTTCATTTGTTTCACGGAATGGCTCTTGATACGATGTTTAGGCGTAAACGATTAGATCATAGTACATAAATGCTACAATTTTAATAAAGAAAATGCGGAGTTATTTCAAAAATATCATTTATCATATACATACATACATACAGTATTAAATGTAATTATTGCTTTTGACGTAATTATTATACCAATAAAAAAATTAAAGCCCACGTATGTCAAAGTAGGTGATAATATTTATATATTATGATATGACATTTTTACGACGAGACGACGACGTAAAAAATGTTTATCATACCTACGACGAAAGGCAATAGAGATGGGGCAACGAATAAACACACGGAAGACTAAGGAGATGAGGTGTGGAGCAACAACCTCCTTGCCATTGTTCATTGGTACAGAGGCGGTGGAAAAGGTCCACAATTTCACCTAACTCGGGAGCGTAGTGTTGGAGAGTGGCGGGACCGAAGAGGACGTCGCATCAAGAATCGCCAAATCAAGAGCAACCTTCGCGCAACTCCGTCCTGTATGGCAATCACGGAAACTGACCAGAAGAGTTAAACTGTAAATATTCCGGTCCAGTGTCAAAACCGTGCTGCTATATGGAACCTAGACGTTGAAGGTCACTAAGGACATTTCGCATCGGCTTCAGGTCTTCGTTACTTGGTGTCTTCGTCGTATTCTCGGTATTTACTGGCCCGAGAAAGTCTCTAATATCTGTGGGAACACTGCGGTGAGATACCAATTGACCTGCAAGTCAAACGTCGCAAGTGGAAGTGGATCGGCCACACGCTCCGAGGGGACCCGAAACACATATCAAGGCAAGCCCTAGACTGGACTTCCCAAGGAAAGCGAAAACGTGGCGCCCTAAGCAGACCTGGCGGCGGACGATCACTGCAGAAGCTAATAGCATCGGGAAGACTCGGAGCGACATGAAAGGCGAAGCTCAAGACCGAACGGGATGGCGGCGTACTGTGGACGTCCTCTGCCTCATCTGGGGGACATAGGATTAAAAAGATATATATATTTGAACTTAAAATAAATATATATTTTATTTAAACTGCAAGATAAACATAAAACACTTATGATTTATGTTTATCTTGCAATACATAAATGATCTTGCAATACATAGATTAACAAAAACAGAATACATGAATTTTCCTAAAGCTTTTAATTGAAATTTATCTACGTTACTCAGTACCTTAACTTTTAATTATTTGATGTTAATAAAAGATAATTGAAGAGCTTCATTAATTGGATGAATGATATTCATTATACCATCCTTAAATATTTAACAAATGTATTCTGGAGGGGTGAGTTTAATCACTGTTGATCAATTAAGTCTCAAATTATTTAACGTTGCATACTTTTTGATTAATTTAGATATATGTTTTCATGTCGTCTTATTCATTACATTTTATCTTCAATCTTTTGAATTCTGGCGATTGATTTAAAATATATGAGTTTTTGTCATGCGAAGTATACTCGTAGAAAATTGTAAGTGGTAGCTTTTTGTGTAATATCGCAAACTATATCTAAAAAGTTTCAGTTATATTTAGTTAATATTTTTTATAGTATCTGAATAGTTTAAATGTACAAAGAAGGACTGGTCACATCTAATCAATTCTGATGAAATCTCAAATAAAAGGAGTTGTTACAAATATATATCTTGTCACTGTTTTATCTCGATAGTTAACATTTTAAATCCTCCCTTACCACCCCGTATTGTATCCATTAGCGAAAACCTAACGAAGAAGTTTTTT